GACTTCTGAATGGACCCCTCAAATTTTAAATTTAATGCTGATCTCGCTCCTGGTGTGCCTTCTCTACAGCCGTAAAATTGTGTTCCTCGCTCCATTCTATTAGCCTAATGCACTTTGAATGGTATGATCAGTCTGCACCGTACACAAAACAAAAAACTTTTCACTGTATCTAGTTACATAGCGTCATACAGCTTAATAATATCCTTCCTAAAACAGGGTGACCAGTTCTGGTCACCATTACTCAAGAAGAGACCTCACCAATGTCCTGTACATGTAGCAATAATAAATCAAACCAAAATCAAAAACATGTCTTAGGATAATTAGATTGCAAGGGCTAAATTATGGGGAGTAATCACACAAAGTAGGGTAGCATATAGAAAGTTGAGGAATTATTTAATTGTAAGTTTCAACTTAAGGGAAACAGAAGGGTTGATAGAGAGAAATTATTCCCATTAGTGAGGGATGTTAGCAATTGACAACCTGCCCTTTGAGAACACAACTGGGAAACATTTCCGCACAGAGGGTGGGGTAAGTTGGAAGTTATCGCTCACCAAAGATGACTTAATTTTCAAACCGAGATCACTGACAATGTTGCTAGCCATTGGAGATGTGGGGCAATGCTGTGTGCACGGAGCTTGGTCCCAGATCAGCTATGGTCTCTTCAGCCATGGCTTGAGGGGCTGAATGGCCTATTCCTTGATGCAGCTGATTTTCTATCTCGCTGCCCAAACAGTCTATCCCGATAATTGAATGTGCATTTATATAGAGCCTCTTCTTACCTTCAGGATTCTAAAGCACTTCAAAAGGACATTATTGCCAGCGAAGTCACTGTTGTACGAGAGATAACTCAGAAGTACCCAGTGTTACTTGCAACAAGGGCATGTTAACCTCAGTGATCTAAGGACCAGATTGAGGGACTTCCAGGACACAGGGGAGCTAATAATGCCATGGTATCCATTAATGCGCATAAATATTTAAATGTGAAAATCCTGTGGCATGGTGGAGTTGCAGTAGAGGATTACCATGACTGGATCAAAAGGCAGTGCAGGTTTGATGGGCCAAATGGCCTACTCCAACACCTTGGCATTTTCACATCGACCTGTTCAGAGATGTTCCTACACACCTCTGCAGCAGATGAGTCTTGAACCCAGGCTCCACCTAAAGTCTATTTGCACATCCGAGAAAGGTACCCCTGACTGCGCAGCACACCCTTAGCCTGACCAGCTTATAGGTTCGAGACCCTGCAGTTACTTCCTTGTGACTGAAGAACTTTGAGCAGGAGCAGGCCATTGGAACCATGAAGCCTGGTCTGCCATTCAACAAAGAACATGGCTAACCCCAGCATGGAATCAGGGACCTCCCAATTCTCTGTCAGCCCAGCCACATCCCTAGACTTCCCTGTTGGAAGATACGCCACTCAGCAAAGTGAGAAATCAGAAAGCAGCATTCCTACTGCAGACTTCAGTAAAATAGAATAGGATTCAACTGTACAATCCTGAGCCTCATCTCCCTCAAAGATCACGGCTGATTCATATCAATTTCACTAACCTGCCAAAAAAAAAAAACTCCCACTATCAATCCAAGTCTCGAATATACTCAATGCGTTTGAGCCCACTGAGGTAGATGTATCCAGATGTTCCCTGAAGAAATTTCTCCTGATTTTGTTCTCCCTTGTTCCTTAGGGCTCAACTCCTACCTGACATGAGCTGTGCAGATCTGAGCACCACCACGTGGCTATAATCAGAAACACCAGCCTTGATATCTTACAGCAACCATTTGATACAGCAACATCCAGTGACGAGTTATGGAAGTGCAGAGTCTGAAATTCTGAAAATAGGTGCAGGACAATCAGCCCATATGCCTGCACTACTTCTTATAAAGAGCTATCCAATTAACCTCAAACCCTTGCTCTTTCCTCCTATGTCTGTCATTTTCATCCTATTCCCTGTGGAAAGCTACAACTGAGCCCACTTCCAACAATAGCTTCATGTACCGTCTACAGGATGCACCGCAACAGCTCAAATGCTTGATAACATTTTCCAAAAATCCATCATCTAGAAGGATAAGGGCCAACAGGTACATGGGAACACCACCTGCTGAAAGTTACCCTCCAAGCCACTCACCATCCTGACATGGAAATATATCGCCGTTCCTTCGCTGTCGCTGGGTCAAAATACTGAAACTTCCTCCCTAATAGTATTATGGGTCTACTTACATCCCAAGGACTGTAGTGGTTTACGAAAGCAGCTCACCACCACCTTTTCTAGGTCAACTAGGGACGGTGAATATGCACTGGTTCAACCAACGCTACTTCTATCCTGTGAATGGATTAACATTTTCCTCACTTCATTGCTCTTCAATCACTTCAGATGTGTTCCCTCTGGTTATTAACCATTTCAGCACCAGAAACAGTACGTCCTCATTTATTCCGTGCAAAATCAATCATTTTGAGCACCTTTATCATATTTCCTCAATATTCTTGGATCTAAAGGGAACTCAGACAAGGGAAACATTTCCCAGTTATAAACAGTAGTCAATACTGGACTCGAAACGTTGACAGTTTCACCGTCCGCAGATGCTGTCAGGACCTGCTGCGTTTCTCAAGCACTCTAATGTCAGATTGCCAATATTTTGTTTTTTTACTTCAAATATTTACAACGGAGACCTTTAACAAAATTTTGGATCAAGAGTTTATTTTTGCTCTTTCCCGCTGGGTGAAGCTTTCCAATGCTTCAGACCGTTAAAATCTACTCACGCTGATGAGAGCAGCAATTCTTTTTGCTTCGAGTCATCACAGAGTTCGAAGTAGTACAACGCTACTCCAGTCAGAAACAGAGTCAAATCCACTAACACAATCTGAGAAACAGCGATATCTGGTTAAGAAGAACCTGAATTGCTCTTGATACCTTTAGAGAGAAGTGGGCACCAGGCAATACAGCACTTTATTTAAACCCCTCCAACTCCATTTTGATTTAGTCTTTTCCCACTGCCCCCCAAACCCTCAGTTTGATGGTTCACATTGTTCCATGAATATTTGATTTACTCAATGGGTGGTTACTGGTAGCGGTTAGTAGTTTTAAAATTGGTGACTTGGTGGTGGGAAGGTTGCGGAGTTGTGTGGGATAGCACTTCTAGACATAAAATAATAAAAATGAGCTGAACGTGCAGGAATGATAGATGGATTGATGGTGACCGCTGATGAGACTTGTTTTGGAATAGACTGACCTGGATGAAAGAGCACCCAAGGACATAAGGGATAGGCGACAGGGCTTCCTAAACAGTGGGTGAGTCGGGGGATCCCACGCAGAGATTCGGGGTCCAGGTTAGCAACAGCTGCAATACAGACTTGACTGAGCGTTACTGGCAGTGAGGTCCCTGTAAAACACCACTTTTATTTTGAAGGCTCTCAGAGCTCTACCCTCCTGGAATCCCCCTCCTCGTCCCCGCAGTTCTCTCTGAAGTGATGTGGCACTTTCAAAGCCTTGAAACAGAGTCGCACAGTGGCTAGCACAGCTGCCCTATTGCACCAAGGACCCAGGTTTGATCCCACCCTTGGGATGACTGTGTGTGCAGTCTGCATGTTTTTCCAGTGTCCAAGTGGGTTCCCTCCAGAAGCTCCAGTTTCCTCCCACAGTCCAAAGATGGGCAGGCTAGATGGGTTAGCCATGGGAAATGCAGGGAGAGGGTAGGGGATGGGTCTGGGTGGGATGCTCTTCGGAGGGTCAATGTGGATTCAATGGGCTGAATGGCCTGTTCCCGTACTGCAGGGATTCTACAAACAGGATGACAGCAGGAAAAGGTTTTGGGCAGCAGTGACCTACATCTCAGTAGTGGAGTTGCTGTGCCTGGTTTTGATTTCCAGCAATGCGCGGTGTTTTACTAGTTTATTGTAGACAGTGGTACAAACAGTACAACCAAGGTGGGAGCTGCAACTGGAATCATGAAAGTTTACACACAGTGCAAAAGAGGCCTTTCGGCACATCCACATTGACACTACGCTACAAGTAGCTAATCCAACCTCACCCAATGCAAAATGAGGCACTTCGAGCACATACCAAAGTATTTTTTAAAAATATAATCAGCCTTTCAGGAGCCCCCACCTACCCCATTCTTGGATGAAAAATGTTTCCCCTCAAAATCTTACCCTCTGGATTACACATCCTTCAACTGCAGGAGAAGGAACTGGTCATCCATTAAATATCACTTTTTTTGGTACATCTGAATTAATTCCCCTCTGCTCCAAGAAAAACAACCGCAGCCTGTCCAATCTCACCCCATTACCAAAATTCATGAGGCATCATCCATGTAAATCTCTGCGCCCACTCTACAGCAATCACATCTTTCCGATAGTGTGCCGATCTTATCGTTTACTCTGGGACACACGGTGATGCAGGAAACAGTCAGTTGTCAGGTTGCACTGTTGCCTGGAAACGCATGCTCTCAAGTGTGACTGATCGCAAACAAGATGGACTGAAAGGCCTTTTGTACCAGAAAAGAATCTGCAAACAATGTGAGCTTGACCCTAAATAAGATCACCAAACATCCACTACAGAAGTGCTTTAAATTTAAACCAGATTTGGCATCGTTCAAAATGGACAACCCTAGGGGCAGTGAAAGTGAACATCCAGGAGTCATTTAAGAAGTTACTGGTAGCTGTGGGTGCAGGATATATTGCTGAAGGGACACACTGAAGAACTTTTGTATCTTGCAATCATCAGAACAAATGCAATGCTTTTGGACAGGATCAAGTGCTGTGACCATTTGAAGTGTGACCAGAGGTGGTGATGGCATAGTGGAATTATTGCTGGACTGTTAATCCAGAGACCAGATAATGTTCTGGGGGACCTGGGTTCGAATCTTGCCACGGCAGATGGTGGAATTTGATTTCAATAAATATCTGGAATTAAGAATCTAATGATGATCATGAATCCATTGCTGATTGTTGGAAAAACCCATCTGGTTCACTAATGCCCTTTAGGGAAGGAAACTGCCATCCTTACCTGGTCTGGCCTACATGTGACTCCAGACCCACAGCAATGTGGTTGACTCTGAACTGCCCTCTGGGCAATAAATATTGCCTAGCCAGCAATGCCCTCATCCTGTGAATGAATAAAGGGAAAAAAAAAAAAAAATTGGCTTCTTGCATGTGTCCTGATGAGTGCCAGAGCTAAAAACTTCAAACAACAGAAAGATTGGGGAGGATTTATCCGAATGGGGAAGGTAGCGATTGTATACAGTGTAAAAAAGGTGGAACACTTGCATTGCATGGCACTAGCTAACCTGAATCCACACATTTCGATTAGCACAGTGTGTTTCAAGTCTCTGAAAACATTCCAAAGTTGTTCTTGTGCAATGAATGAACTTGAAGCCTTGTAGGTGTAACGTTGATTTTAAATAGCCAGCCTCATGCAGACCCACAGGCCTCAGTTCTGCTCCCAAATGAACGGGTTCATTGCAGTATGGAGCAAAGCTGGAACGTTGGCCCCACAGTCAGAACGTTCTTACGCTGATTTAAACAACCCCGCTACTAGGTCCGTGGTCCTGTTTGGTTGCTGTCACCTGGGCCAGGAGCTGTCTCCTGCCTTCGAACAGTAACACGCTCGCTGCCATCGCAGAGTTAAGGCTGTCCATACCAGGAACCATGGGGATATATAAGCGCTGTCCTCCTGTCTGCTCAGCTAAGGAGAGGGCTTCAAGGCTGAGTCCATATGTCTCACCACCAATCACAATTGCAGTCACCTCCCGAGCCCAGTGCTGGGAGTAACACCGAGCCCCCACTTTAGGCAGCGACAGTGGAAACACACTCTCTTCGTCCTCGCTGTCACTCTCCTGGTATTCGGTCTGCCCCCAGCTCCGGTTACCGACTGCACCCAGGTCAGGGGGGGGCACATAACGGTCAGCCCCACCCTGTGAGGAGTCAGCAACATGAACCTGGGTGCTGCCGCTCAGGTAGTTCGGGATGACTCCCCACTCCAGATTGGAAATGACGGGGATGCGGAAGTGCGCACCCATACCAGCTCGGAGCACTTTGGGTTCCCACACATCCACGCAGCCTGCAGGGCGGAGAAACAACAAGGCACACACTTTAGCTGCTAAAGGGTCTTTCTTCTCCAATGCATCAGAGGGACAGTGCAGAAGTGACTCACCAGAACGGTTGTGGCGATGAGACGTTTCAGCTATGGAGGATAGATTGAAGAAGTGGGGGATAACAGTGTAGAGCTGGATGAACACAGCAGGCCAGGCAGCATCGGAGGAGCAGGAAAGCTGATGTTTCGGGTCGGGACCCTTCTTCAGAAATTTCTGCCTGGCCTGCTGTGTCCCTCCAGCTCCACACTGGGTTATCTCTAACTCCAGCATCTGCAGTTCTTACTATCTCTGATTGAAGAAGTGGGGACTGCTCTCCCTGGAGAGAAGGTGAAGGCGGCTGAGAGGAGATTTAGTGGAGGTTCTCAACATCCGGAGCGGGCTGGCTAGAGCAGACAGGGATAAAAATGTTCTGGCTCATAAAAGAAAATCAGAACGGGAGAGCACAGATTTAAAGTGATGTGACGGCGGCATGGTGGTTCAATGGTTAGCACTGCTGCCTCACAGCACCAGGGACCCGGGTTTGATTCCAGCCTCAGGCGACTGTCTGTGTGGAGTTTCACATTCCCGCCGTGTCTGCGTGGGTTTCCTCCGGGTGCTCCAGTTTCCTCCCACAGTCCAAAGATGTGCAGGTTGGGTGGATTGGCCATGATAAATTGCCCCAGTGTTCAGGGATGTGCAGGCTAGGTGGGTTAGCCATGGGAAATGCAGGGTTACAGGGATAGGGTGGGTCTGAGTGGGATGCTCTTGAGGATCAGGATGGGCTGAATAGCCTCCTCCTAAACTGTAGGGAACCTATGATTCTGAGGGGGGGGGGGTGGAAACTCAACTTTACAGTTTACAAAGTTAAGAAATGGAATGCACTGCCTGGAAATGTGGGCCTCTCACCTCGATCCAAGTACCCCTACAATGTCCAAGGTGAGGCAGTCTGTTTAAGCCCATCATCTGCTATGTCCACAATTGCCAGATCATCCTGATTGCTCACTGGCTGTTAAGCTCCCCATGTTAACCACTCACCCTGCCCCTGCAGCAGGACCATCTCCCACCCCCGTGTCATGCACAGTAAGCATTCTGCTCTGCTGATCTGTGCTACACTTCGACCTCTCCTACAAAATCTAGTTCAGATGTTGAAGAATCTCAGAAATGCAGGTCTGTTACCTAGTACCATTCCTTTGCCTCTTCCCAATTTCTCCAAACACCATTTGTATCCAAACAACCAACCGATGCCATATTGAATACCCCACCACATTTCCAGGTAGTGCATTCCATTCTCTAATACCGCACTGGGTGAGAGTTTACTTTTCTTCACCAAATCGTAGAATCCCTACACTGTAGGCGCAGGCCATTCAGCCCATCACGTCCACACCAGCCCTCCAAAGAGCATCTCACACAGACCCACTCCCTCCATCCTCTCCCTGTAAACCTGCATTTCCCATCGCTAACCCACGTAGCCTACACGTATTTGGATTGTGGGAGGAAACAGGAGCACCTGGAGGAAACCCACGCAGACATGGGGAGAATGTCTGTATAGAGTCTGCACAGCTGCCCAAGGGTGGATTGAACCCAGGTCCCTGGCACTAGGAGGCAGCGGTACTAACACTGAGCCACTGTGCCATCCCATTCAGACATGTGCACCAAAACCCTCTTCTACAGCAAAGTAGAAGTGAAAGGCAGTTGGCCAACATACACTGAGCAGCATTCATCTCACACAGAATAACTTGGGTCAGACATTAATATCACAGAACATCATGGCCCTGAAGAAATCATTTCTCTTAGGGGCAGGACAGAAGAATCTCTGCTTTACATTTGACCTTGGGACCTACAATGCCTGTTGAAATTTGTGCAACACTCTAACACTAGCATCTGGATTCTGTCCTCTCTCCTTTAGGATGCTCAGTCACCTCCTTCGTTACGGCTAAGCATTTGGTCACAAGTCCTGTTAACACATTGTGTAGCTCATGTGTCAGTTTAATTACAGTCCTATTAGATGCCTCAGGACATTCTACTGATTTTTTAAAAACCCCAGTAAGAAAGACATTGCTGCTATGTTTTACCTCCACAAGAAGCTACCAATGATGGAACTGAAAAATGTGCTGTAGGATAATAGGTTGGCACAACATCGTGGGCCAAAGGGCCTGTACTGTTCTATGTTCTAAATCATAGAAACCCTACAGTATGGAGACAGGCCATTTGGCCCAACAAGTCCACACCGCCCCTCCAAAGAGCATCCCACGCCAACTCATTCCCCTACCCCTGAATTTCCCCACATCTAGTCCAAATAACCTAAACAGCCCTGGACACTACGGGACAATTTAGCATGGCCGATCCGCCTACCCGGCACATCTTTGGACTGAGAGGGGAAACCGGAGCAACCGAGGGTGGAATCGAATGTGGGTCCCTGGCGCTGTAAGGCAGCAGTGCTAATCACTGAGCCACTGTGCTGGCCTATGGAGGCAAAGCTTGGGGAAATTGCTGGAGTATCATTAAAACTGAACTCATTCATAAATGTCCTTCAGGGAAGGGAATGAATCAGCATTTACACAAAACTACAGAAAGAGCGCGAGGTTGGAGAGACAGGCATGAAGGACAGGCATCTTGTAGATCAACAACTCAACCCTGTTCCTGCATTCTCCCCACACCCTTTATTTTAGTCCTTTGGAGGGGTCAAAGTGCGGAAGTAAAATGCTAGAAATCTAAAATAAAAACAGAAAATACTGGAGATACCCAGCAGGTCAGGCAACAGCAACACCCCTTATCCTGTTCTGAAGAAAATTATCACTTTTCCTAGGGCTACCATCTGGGAATTTGCTGCTGAATGCAAGTTGAAAACAGTTCCCCAATAACAGCTCAGTGAGAAACCACATTAAGTGGCAATTTTTTGCTGATCATTAGGGGACAACCCAAACTTGCTCCAAACTAGGTGGCGGAGAACTTAAACCATTGGCTTCTGCTCTCCTGGTACAATCCCTTCCTGTTTGAATCACCCTCGACATGGAGCTAGTTGATCTGGGTGAAGATGGATGTCAGTGTATGGCATTCCAATTGGGCTCAGTACCCCCAAATTACACATGGGAGACGATGGGCTAGTGGTATTATCATTGGACCATTAATCTGGAGACCCAGGTAACGTTCTGGGGTCCTGGAAGATGGTGGAATTTGAATTCAATACAAAATTTGGAATAAACAGTCTAATGATGACCATGAATCCATTGTCAGAAAAACCCATCTGGGTTCACTAAAGCCCTTTAGAAAAGGAAACTGCCATCCTTACCTGGTCTGGCCTACACGTGACTCCAGACTCACAGCAATGTGGTTGACTCTGAACTGCCCTCTGGGCAATTAGGGGTTGGCAATAAATGCTGCCTAGCCAGTGACATCCTCATCCCGTGAATGATTTCAAAAACAAAATCCACTTCAAACCAGAAGCAATCTGGGGTTTCCCCCATTCCTCATTTCACAGCAAGTAGAGCCTAGTGGGAAATGTTAAACGTGTGAATATTCACTGAAGACAGGGCTAAGTGGAGCAAGATTCTGGCCATGATTATTTTAGTTTGTGTGGGGAGAGCAGTCTCACAACCAAGAGATAAAACTGCTGCTTAACTCTATGTGAATCACATTCGAGGAAGTGGAGGAAGATATGGAAGCATGGGCTTATAACAATTGAAAAAAAAGGAAACACAGATAAGGCTTACCTTTCGTCAACAAGACCTTGCTACAGCCTGCAGCTGCCGCAGATCGTAATATTGTTCCCAAGTTTCCTGGATCTCGGATATTGTCACCAATGAGGAAGAGGGGTATGGTGTGCTCCTGCTGAACTGCCGGATATTTCATCTTGGAGCGATCTGGTCTGACAAAAATTCCTATCAGGAACAACAGGACCGAGAGATTAATTCACAATTTAAAACACACTCGGGTTCCACTAGCCGATTCCTCCCAGGTGGCTTTACCATCAACAGCACACACCCCTAACCCGCTGCATACCATCCCAGCTGCTCGCACAACCTGACAACTCAAAAGCTGTTACTGCAATTTCTCTACCACGCAAGGACAGGGCCACAAGGCAGCTCATAACCACCTAGGTACAGGCAATAAATGAGAGACAACAAGGTGCAGGGCTGGATGAACACAGCAGGCCAAGCAGCATCATAGGAGCAGGAGGGCTGACATTTCGGGCCTAGACCCTTCATCTGCAGTTCCTACTATCTCTGATACAGGCAATAAATGCTGACTCAACCACCCATGTCCCACGAGTTAATAAAAAAAAAATCTACTTTTGTCTCAGAGGTCATCATTTAGTGAATACAGGAGCCTCCTCATTTGCTGAGTGTACAGTGATGAGTCCATCACCAGTCCGCACAGGGGACATGCCTCACTAAGGGGTGACATTGATTGTGTCTCTCTGCAAGTGTGTAAGGCCCCAGTGGGAGAGCACGCATGCACGGGGACCCTACCCTCTGCTATTCAACAAGGATCACTCTCTCTGTGGTAGCTCAAAGCCTGCTATTCAACAGATACGGTTCGTCACAGAGAAAATTAATGTCTGAAGTAGAGCTCCACAGTGGGTTAAAGATGCCAAGACACCACCTGATGTAAAGCAAGGAGTCATCGCGTTCACATCCCTCCATCTCCCATCAAAAGTTGGAATGAAAGAGAAAATCATAATTAAATTTCAATGCTTTGTGGAATCTGGCTGTGCACAAACAGACCCGAGGAAATACGTTCTTGGCTAAGGAGACTGCGATAACAATCACTTAACTCGCACCTGAGGCAAGGGAATTAACCAAATGAGGAAAAATTAAACAAATCAAGCCTACATTTCCTGCAGATGAGAAAGAGGAGATCTCACTGGAACGTGCAAAAACTCAACAGGCTCAACAGGATTGGTGCTGAGAAAATGCTTCTGTAGTTAGAGACACGAGAACACTGGGTCATGGTACCCCCAGAAGGACAGGATGGCCACTTTGGACTGAGATAAGGAGGAATGTCATCAAAAGGGTTGTACGCCTTTGGAATTCTCTAATACAGCTTGGATCCCGTGAGACCGAGTACATTCAAAAAAAAAGTTCAATAGATTTCTGCGTATTTGGGGAAAGGCTGGAAATTAAGGATTACAGTAACAAAGCAGCCATGATTTTAGGGACAGCAGAGGAATTTCTGTTTCTTATATGCACCCAACTTGATACAACTCCTGCTTTTGGAACATTTGAAAGCAATGTAATATGTGAAAGTTGCTTTTTGCTGCAATTTTTCCAGACCACTGTTTCTTTATTTCGTCACAACTTGTCAACAGATCAAGACCCCCAGCATAGCGTCTTAGAGATGTACAGCATGGAAACAGACCCCTCGGTCCAACTTGTCCATGCTGACCAGATATCTTAAATTAATCTAGCCCCATTTGCCAGCATTTGGCCCATATCCCTCCAAACCCTTCCTATTCATATACCCATCCAGACGCCTTTTATAATGTTGTAATTGTACCAGCCTCCATCACTTCGTCTGATAGTTCATTCCACACACGCACCACCCTCTGCATAAAAAGTTGCCCATTCGGTCCCTTATATCTTTTCGCTCTCGCCTTAAACCTATGCCCTCTAGTTTTGGACTCACCAACTTGGGGAACTTGACTATTCATCCTATCCATGCCCCTCATGATTTTATACACTTCTATAAGGTCCCCCCTCAGTCTCCGACACTCCAAGAATAAAAGCCCCAGCCTATTCAGTCCCACCGTATAGCTCAAACCCTCCAAACTGGGCACAATCCTTGTAAATCTTTTCTGAAGCCTTTCAAGTTTCATAACATCCTTCCTATAGCAGGGAGACCAGAATTGAACACACTATTCCAAAAATGGCCTAACCAATGTCCTGTACAGCCACAACATGACCATTCAGCACTGAGAAAGGCAGGTGTACCAAACACCACCTTCACCACACTATTCTTAGAGCCTTGGCTCAACCAATAAAATGGGCATCCAAAGAAATTACTTTGGCAACTTACCTATTGCTCCCTGGGGAGTTACAAGGTCAGACCACATCTTGATCTCTTCAAACTTGACCTTTATTAACTTGACATGTTTCAGTTTCTCCAGAGGCAGCTCCCTCAGGCTCTCCACAGAACTGAAGAAGAGAGTCTGCAGCAGTGCTCCAGCTCCCAAGGCATCGGTTATTAATCGCCGACCCTCCACCAGGATCTTCCCGTGCTGTTCACGGAACTTCTTGGACTTGGCGAGGATCACAACTTTTCTATCGGAAGGAGAGACTGATAATTAAGTTCTAAACAGAGAAAAGGGAACTTTCAAATGGTTATGACAGAGAAACTGCAATCCATCAGGTTCAGTGTTCACTGGTGATAGCCTAATAAATACAGTTGCTGCCTAATGACAACAATAACTCTCTATTTACCCTTCAGCAGACCCAGAGTCAAGACTGATAAGCATTCAGTAAATGGAGTGTTTGGGAACCAAAGATCCAAGTCATCAACTCCTCTTACAGTCAGAGGGAAAGGAAACACCAGAGCTGACAGCAATTAGCCAAAGGCTACTCCACACAGATGCATTGGTTCAAGAAGACCATTCAGCTCCAGCTTTTCAAGGGCAACACTTATGCTTTGACAGTAGTGCTCTCATTCCATGAGAAAGAAAAAAAAGAAAGGAGACTATTTAAGTCAGGGATGCCCAAGAGGCCAGAATTACAGAATGGTGGAAATCGTGGAGTGTTGTGTGGCTGGAGAAGGTTACAGAGGTAGGGAAGGATGACACCATGGAAAAATTTGAAGATAAAACAGAGAGAAAAAAAAAGAATTGCAGGTGTGGATCAGAAACAAAAACTTGTTGGGACAACTCAGCAGGTCTGGCAACAGCTATGGAGAGAAAGCAGAGTTGTTTCCTCGGCTCCAGAGACTCTTCTACCATGAATGCGTTTTCCCTACAATTTCTGTTTTTGTCATTAATAAAAAAGATGTTGGAGGACCAGGAGCTAGTGCTGGGTGACGGAGTTTTGGTACCAACAGGAGAGGCTATGAGGAGGGATGGGGTGGGGGTTGAAGGGGAAAGACTCCAGGTTACGGGCTCCCCTCGCGTAATTCTCAACGCTATTCCTTACGCCAGCCGCTTATCGCCGGGAAACGCCTTCTCGTACGACAGTCCGTCCAGGGAAGAGGGGCCGAAGGGCGGCCGGGGCTGGTCTCTCGGGGCCGGGTCAGGGTTCCTGGTCACCGGGCGACTACGATCCTCTCCGGCGCGGCCAGCGGCTGCGGCCTCCTCGTTCTGGGGATACAGAACCTCAACCGGCCTCCTCCTCCAGACCCGGAGCTGCCGAGGCCCCGGGATCAAAGCAGCTCCCCACCGGCGCACGCTGTTCCTGAGCGCCGCCATGACAGCCAGCCGGGCGCCAGTGCGCCTGCGCGGCCATGTAGCAACCCCTCCCCAGAGAGTCAGGTGACCTCTGTTGGTTACCTTGGGTCACATGACCTATCCAAGTCTGGCAGCTCCTTCCCAGAACCAGTTCAAAACACACACTTTAGATAGAGACAGTCAGTCTTTGTGGCGTTTTATAAATTCCTACTTTAGAAATAAAACCAGTCTGACTCCAAATTAAAACACAAACAGATTCTAAGCAAGGCCTCATACCTAACATGCATTGTCTGACCTAAAGTGTCACCTCTTCATTACACTGATAAAGCCTTTAGTTCTCTCAGGACTAATTTGAAAGCAATTTGGGGATTTACTTATACATATTAATCAATTAAAATCTTCTCACTGGTTAAAGATTTAACAGCATCTTAGGTTTGTTTAGTACATCCTCATCAATGGTGTGACCCTTTGATCTTTTACTTATAAATTCTGTGTCTGATACTATCTCTCTCACCAACACCTGAAGGAGGAGTGAGGCTCTGAAAGCTGCTGTTTTCAAATAAACCTGTCGGACTATAACCTGGTGTCAAGTGATTTCTGACTTTGTCCACCCCAGTCCAACACCAGCACCTCCACATCAAGCCTTGCCAGTAGGTACCATTTCCCCTTTAAAATTGATAAATATCTGCAACTGATTTGAATTGAAAAGAATTTGAAATCTCTTTGACTGACATCTTTGACCACTGCATCCCCCTGAAATGTCATTTCAATTTGATTTGTGATGATTCCTTTATATTTTTTGGCTTTTGGGGAAAGAACATTTGTCAACTTTTAATTGATTAAAAAACCCATCAGTCACAGCGTTTGGTTATCTCAGTGGGTAGACAAGTGGTTTGTGATGTAGAGTGATTGCCAAGTGACCTGTCCTAAGATTTCAGCTCATGAACCACTTGGGAAGTCCTGTCTTAAATACATCCATGCTATTTGTCTCAATTATTCTCGCTGATAGAGTTCCACATTCTCTCCACTCTCTGGACAAAAGTTCTCCCTACTGGATTTAAATGGACCTTAAGTTTTGATCTCTCCGATGAGTGGAAGCAATTTAGCCTGTTCAAAGGTGGGATCTGAGCTCATAACATCTCACTTTCCCCCTGGAGCAAGACAGTTATGTTAATCTAGCTGCCTCGAGGTAAACTTTGCTTCTCCATATCCATTGCAAATACTGTTAACCTTGGCTTCTTCTGGGCTGGATAAATGAGCCTGTGTTCACATTGCTGAGTGTTATTTAATGTGGACTATAATGGGGTTATGGATCGTAGTCTAGCTATTTCCTGAGATATAACATGACAGGTCACTCTGTTAGGAGTGTGTCTGGACAGATGTCATGGTAATATTTGAAGCAAAACCAGAGATCAAGCAGGAGATACTTGTTATTGATTTCCAGTTGTTGGTAATATACACTTCTTTTACTCATTCATAGGATGTCAGCTTCACTGGTTAGGCCATTATTATTGCCCATTCCTAATTGCTCTAGAGAAGTAATGGTGAGCCCTCTTCTGGAACTGCAGGCTTTATTTTTGGAAGGGGAAAAGGTTTGTCCAGTTTTGTTAGGGAGGATTTTGACTCAGTGACAATGAAGGAATGGTGATATATTTCCAAGTCAGGTTGTTGAGGCTTGGAGGTGAACTTGCAGGTGGTGATGTTCCCACGAAACAGCTGCCCTTGTCTTCCTAATGGTTGTGGGTTCAGAAGGTGTTGCCTCAGGAGCCTTAGTGATTGTTGCTGTGCAAACACTACTGCTGCTACTGTGCATTGCTTTTGGAGGGAGTAAATGTTGGAGGTGTTAAATAGAACATAGAACATAGAACATTACAGTGCAGTACAGGCCCTTCGGCCCTCGATGTTGCACCGACCTGTGAAACCAATCTGAAGCCCATCTAACCTAAACTATTCCATTATCATCCATATGTTTATCCAATGACCATTTAAATGCCCTTAAAGTTGGCGAGTCTACTATTTTTGCAGGCAGGGCATTCCACGCCCTTACTACTCTCTGAGTAAAGAACCTACCTCTGACATCTGTCCTATATCTATCACCCCTCAATTTAAAGCTATGTCCCCTCGTACTAGCCATCACCATCCGAGGAAAAAGGCTCCCACTGTCCACCCTATCTAATCCTCTGATCATCTTGTATGTCTCTATCAAGTCACCTCTTAACCTTCTTCTCTCTAACGAAAACAGCCTCAAAACCCTCAGCCTTTCCTCATAAGACCTTCCCTCCATACCAGGCAACATCCTGGTAAATCTCCTCTGCACCCTTTCCAATGCTTCCACATCCTTCCTATAATGCGGTGACCAGAACTGTACGCAATACTCCAAGTGCGGCCGCACCAGAGTTTTGTACAGCTGCAACATGACCTCATGGCTCCGAAACTCAATCCCTCTACCAATAAAAGCTAACATACCGTACGCCTTCTTAACAACCCTATCAACCTGGGTGGCAACTTTCAGGGATCTATGCACATGGACACCGAGATCTTTCTGCTCATCCACACTACCAAGAATCTTACCATTACCCCAGTACTCTGCATTCCTGTTACTCCTTCCAAAGTGAATCACCTCACACTTTTCCACATTAAACTCCATTTGCCACCTCTCAGCCCAGCTCTGCAGCTTATCTATGTCCCTCTGTAACCTGCAACATCCTTCCGCACTATCCACAACTCCACCAACTTTGGTGTCATCCGCAAATTTACTAACCCATCCTTCTACGCCCTCATCCAGGTCATTTATAAAAATGACAAACAGCAGTGGCCCCAAAACAGATCCTTGAGGTACACCACTAGTAACTGAACTCCAGGATGAACATTTCCCATCAACCACCACCCTCTGTCTTCTTACAGCTAGCCAATTTCTGATCCAAACCGCTAAATCACCCTCAATCCCATGCCTCCATATTTTCTGCAATAGCCTACCATGGGGAACCTTATCAAACGCTTTACTGAAATCCATATACACCACATCAACTGCTTTACCCTCATCCACCTGTTTGGTTACTTTCTCAAAGAACTCAATAAGGTTTGTGAGGCACGACCTACCCTTCACAAAACCGTGTTGACTATCCCTAATCAAATTATTCCTTTCTAGATGATTATAAATCCTATCTCTTATAATCCTTTCCAACACTTTACCCACAACCGAAGTAAGGCTCACTGGTCTATAATTACCAGGGTTGTTTCTACTCCCCTTCTTGAACAAGGGGACAACATTTGCTAGTCTCCAGTCTTCTGGCACTATTCCTGAAGACAATGATGACATAAAGATCAAAGCCAAAGGCTCTGCAATCTCCTCTCTAGCTTCCCAGCGAATCCTAGGATAAATCCCATCCGGCCCAGGAGACTTATCTATTTTCACACCTTCCAGAATTGCTAACACCTCCTCCTTATGAACCTCAATCCCGTCTAGTCTAATAGCCTGTATCTCAGTATTCTCCTCGACTACATTGTCTTTTTCCTGTGTGAATACTGACGAAAAATATTCATTTAGCGCCTCTCCTATCTCTTCGGACTCCACGCACAACTTCCCACTACTGTCCTTGACCAGCCCCAATCTTACTCTAGTCATTCTTTTATTCCTGACATACCTTTAGAAAGCTTTAGGGTTTTCCTTGATCCTACCTGCTAAAGACTTCTCATGTCCCCTCCTGGCTCTTCTTAGCTCTCTCTTTAGGTCCTTCCTGGCTAACTTGTAACTCTCAAGCGCCCTAACTGAGCCTTCACGCCTCATCTCTACACAAGCCTCCTTCTTCCTCTTGACAAGAGATTCAACTTCTTTAGTAAACCACGGTTCCCTCGCTCGACCACTTCCTCCCTGCCTGACAGGTACATACTTCTCAAGGATACGCAGTAGCTGTTCCTTGAACAAGCTCCACATTTCAATTGTGCCCAGCCCCTGCAGTTTCCTTCTCCATCCTATGCATCCTAAATCTTGCCTAATTGCCTCATAATTGCCTTTCCCCCAGCTATAACTCTTGCCCTGCGGTATATACCTATCCCTTTCCATCGCTAAAGTAAACGTAACCGAATTGTGGTCACCATCACCAAAGTGCTTACCTACCTCCAAATCTAACACCTGGCCTGGTTCATTACCCAGTGCCAAATCCAATGTGGCCTCGCCTCTTGTTGGTCTATCTACATACTGTGTCAGGAAACCCTCCTGCACACATTGGACAAAAACTGACCCATCTGAAGTACTCGAACTATAGCGTTTCCAGTCAATATTTGGAAAGTTAAAGTCCCCCATAACAACTACCCTGTTACTTTCGCTCCTATCCAGAATCATCTTTGCAATCTTTTCCTCTACATCTCTGGAACTTTTCGGAGGCCTATAGAAAACTCCCAACAGGGTGACCTCTCCTTTCCTGGTTCTAACCTCAGCCCATACTACCTCAGTAGACGAGTTGTCATCAAACGTCCTTTCTGCCACCGTAATACTGTCCTTGACTAACAATGCCACACCTCCCCCTCTTTTACCACCTTCCCTGATCTTACTGAAACATCTAAACCCCGGAACCTGCAACAACCATTCCTGTCCCTGCTCTATCCATGTCTCCGAAATGGCCACAACATCGAAGTCCCAGGTACCAACCCATGCTGCAAGTTCACCCACCTTATTCCGGATGCTCCTGGCATTGAAGTAGACACACTTCAAACCACCTTCCTGCCTGCCGGTACACTCCTGCGACCTTGAAACCTTATTTATGACCTCACTACTCTCAACCTCCTGTACACTGGAGCTACAATTCAGGTTCCCATCCCCCTGCTGAATTAGTTTAAACCCTCCCGAAAAGCATTAGCAAATTTCCCCCCCAGGATATTGGTACCCCTCTGGTTCAGGTGTAGACCATCCCGTTTGTAGAGGTCCCACCTACCCCAGAATGAGCCCCAATTATCCAGGTATCTGAATCCCTCCCTCCTGCACCATCCCTGTAGCCACATGTTCAACTGCTCTCTCTCCCTATTCCTCG